TTGATTTTAAAGCTTATTTTACATTTCACAATGTAAAATTTCACAAGGGAAATTCTGTCGTGGACTTAGATTAGGCAGGGAGACACCAAATCCTTGATACTGATTTGATGGTGATGGTACACATATTGATCCCTAAGGTGCTTCAGGAGCTGCATCATTGGGCACTGGCAACTCCAGGGGGGGTGCCACACACATGGGCTTCAATGTGATGGGCCCCCCGTGGAGTTAGCAGAGGGGCATCCAGCAGGTGTCTGGACAGGTAGGTCATGAGAAGGCCTTTATTAATAAATGTGTGACTCCTGAGGACAATGCCACATTTACAAATCAGGGAGGCAAGATTATACAGTACTTATGAGTATGAAGCCTAGTGCCCAATTGTCATGAGTCCAGATCCTGCCTTAACTGTGTGACCTTTGGGGCAAGTTCCTCAACTCCTCCATGCCTTGGTCTTGTCTTCTGCATATAGGGTTAATGGCAATGTCTACTATATCCGATTATTATGGGGATTAGGTAAGTTAGTATTTGTAAAGCATGCAAATATGGCCGTCGGAGTCATAGAAGTTACTTGTTACAAAAATTCAAAAACACTTTTGATTGATCATGCTGTCGGTGCTTAGTAAAATTAGATATAAATGACATGATCAAGACTGTCAGTAATTTCTTTCCCTATTCTTAATTGTTGATGTGGTTATTGTCAGTGGAATGCTGTTGCTTCAAACTAAGGTAACTTTCTTTGCTGCACTGTTCCTTAGATGTCTGTTAGTGGGAGACTGGATGAATTGTGGTGTAGTCATAAATATGATAATATGCAATGTTTAAAATAAATGGGTTAGCTTTACTTGAAACAATAGGGATGCATTTCTAAGACAATGTTAAGCATTAAAAAAAAAAAGAAATCCAGAGGGACATCTACAGTATATACAGTAAACTTTCATTCAAAGTCTAAAAACACACCAAAGGAAGTTATATACTATTTCAGATACAAATACAAATATATGTAGAAAATGTATAATAAAAACACAAGCATGAAGAATCCACAATATCAAGACAGCGATTTGAGGAAGGAGGAAAAGGAATGGAATCGGGCAAGAGCAGAAAAGGAGCTTTGGTTTTTGTCTGTAACATTTTCTTCCTCAAAAAAAGAAAACCCCAAATTTCTGAAGCAAAATGTGGCAAAATGTTGACATTTATTAAATCAGGCTGGAGGTTACCTTATTATTCTCTAAAATTTTTATTTATATTTGAACATATCGATGATAAAAATAATTAACAGAATGCATTTAAATGGGAAACTGTAATTCTAAAGTTTCTACCCATGGATTTTATTATTCCTTCTAGTTAATTAAAAAAAAAAGAATTTCAAAACATTAACATACCACCAATTGTGCTGGTGTTTCTTATGGATGGCCCTATTTTATGAGATTTAGGGAGCAGTTTGGCACAAAGGCTGTAAAGAATGCATTTTCATTATTCTAGAAAGAATTTTAATGGCCTATTGTACATCAGTGTTAATGAGAGTCATGTAGATAAATCCCTAAGCAGTCCTTTTAAGGGCTGGATTTTTTGCTTAGCTGAAAATACAAAAGTGCTCTCTTGCTATCCTGGATAATTCTGCTATGCAAGAATGTCGTATGTTTTCTGGTGCTTCCGATGAAACAATATGGAACAACATGGAACATTTATTTAGGGTGTTTTGCTTTGCAGACTTCTTCAGCAGAACTGCAAGGCAACTAATCATTTCTTAAAATCTGTGTAATGAATTACACTTTGAATATGTTATTGATTGGTAGAACAAACACAGGACCATGACCCAGATTTTCAGTCTTAAATCATTGAGATGTGGCTGGTACGCTCTGAGTTTGGCAATTCTCTGTTCATCGTGTAAATTAACTGGGACAATGACCTGTGACTATAGAATTGCAGCTTTGCAGTTTAAATATGCCATCGACCTTTTTATGTCCTATGTATAGTATGTCATGTGTAAAATGGTCACCAAATTAATTGTGTCAGATGCTGCCTACATTCTAACTAGAAAACAATTTTCATTGTCTGAAACATGAATGTTTGTAGTAGATATATTTTAAGTGCCTCAATTTCGATCTATTTAGCATTGCTGAGATTATTAAACATGAAATTTATTCATACATTTCATATTATTTATTGACCACTCACCATTTACTGTTAGATCTTAGAGATAAAGTGATCACCAAAGCAATGCCACTCTCTTCATATTGTTAATAATCTAATGAGTAATAGAGTCAAGAAAACAGGTAATTATAATATAGTGAGATAAGTAGTATTTGTGGGATAGGCAAAGGGTGTTAAAGAAACACATTACAGGGAAACCCAGACCTAGGAAGACTTCCTGGTGGTACTGTCTATGCTGATTCTTCATTTAGAGACTGAAGGAAGAATAGTCTAAGTAGAGGAATCAGCACAAGAAAAAACCCAGGTACAAGACAAGGGAAAGCATACTTCAGGACAGATGTGCAGATGTTTCTTTTGTATGAAGAGCCTTCAGTACTCTGTGGTTGTATCTCTTTGGAATTCCTACTTCAGGTCATCCTGAGGATAACCATTGGACATCAGTCATTTGAAAGTCAAAGATCTGATCCTCAACCCAATGCCCAGACTCCACCCAAAGCCAATCACATCAGAATTTTGGGCGGCTGTTCCCAGACATTGAGATTTTTAAAAATCTCTCAAGAAGACATGACTATTCAATCAGGTTACAAATAACTAATTTACAAGATAAATAATGAAAGGTCTGTTGATCAGATGCAAAGGCAAGTAAGAAAGGCAGAAATGCTGTGCAGGGGCATTGCCAAAATGAGCTGGCTGTAAAGAAATAACCTTAGGGATCACATCCACCAGCTATGAATCTCAGTGCAAAACACTGAGAAGTGTGACTCATATTCTAGAGCTGACTCTTGACATATTCAGAGAACTAGCTCTTCATGTTTTTTTCAGTTCAATTATTTACTCATTCCAAGACACTTAGCTAATCCTTACTATATGTCAGTATACTAAGAGCTATGGATACATGTATGAGTAAGACATTGATGTCTTATCATCCCCAAACTCCCAGTTTAGTGAAGAGACAATTGCTAAGTAATCATGTTCATATGAAAGGACAATACAGAGCTGGATAAACATTGCCCAGGGGGCAGTGGCATCAGACAAAATGACAGAGAATAGCTAAATTTTGAAGGATGAACAGGAATTAGCAATTCACTGAGTCAGAGAGATTTTTAGTGTACGTGGAACAAAGGATATGAAAAGTGTGGCATCCAAAAGAAGCTTGAAAACTGGATTAGCTACAGAAGGTCCCGAGATCTCTCCCTTCTTGTTGCCAATTAGACACAACCATACATTCTCTATGCAGCTGGAAAGCTTTGCTTTACAAGTCTCCATAAGGTTGACAAAGCCTTCACCCCCTGTCATGGCCACTGGAGTAAGGCCAGGGGTAGAAATTAGGAGTCCAAAGTTCTGAGAATGTCTCAGAGACAGGTGAGGATGTGGAATCTGTTGAGGTTCTTGCAGACCAGCTTAAGCACAGCCATAGTACTAATGGTGTGTGTCACTGGGTAGCCAACCTCCAAGATGGGCTCCAGTTATCTCTGCCTTCTGGTATTCACATCCTTACAAAATTCTTTCCCTTGAATGTGGGTTGAATTTATTAACCCTCTTCTAAAGAAGAGGGGAGAGTTCCCATTTCTGATAATAAGTTATAAAAGAGGTTATAGTTTCCATCTCCGTCTATTATATCATCATCTATCTATCATCTATCTATCTATCTATCATCTATCTATCTATCTATCTATCTATCTATCTATCTATCTATCATCTCCCTCTTTCTTTCTCTCTCATTGCTTATTCTGGCTGAAACCAACATCCATGTTTTCAGGCAGGCCTTTCTAGTGAGAACTGGGACCTGCCAATAGCCATGCTGAGTAAGCTTAGAAGTAGATCCCACCCTGGTCAATACTTCAGATGTGACCACATCCATGGCTGACAATTTAGCTGCAACTTCTTGAGAGACCTTGCGACAGAACCTGTTTCACTTAAGCTGTGTCTAGATCCTTGACCCACAAAACTATGAGATAATAAACATTTGTTGTTTTAAGCAGCAGTGTTTTAGGATAATTTGTCATGCAGCAGTACATAATGAATACAGTCACCCTTCTTTCAGGGTTTCTGCATATTCTGGATCCTCTATAAACACCACACAGGTTGGCTCCAAAGAGCTATTATTATTAACAATCATGAATTCCCCTTGAGAAATGAGATTTATTTCAAGCTTGAAATATGTAAAGATATGGATAAAAAACTAAGGGATTCAAAATCAGTTCTGATGCTATATAAGCTTAAGAGGCAAGATGGTGAAGATGATGGTGTGGGGCAATATTGAGACCATGGTCCTATGGTTCTTGTCCATCTGAGACTAACCCCCTACTTCCATTCTTTTCCCATCACCCACACACCACCAGAGTAGAATGTTTAAAGCATTGTAACGTTCAAGATTGAGCAAGGGCTCAGGATGGCATCTTGGAGTCTCACTGCAGATCTGCTGTCAAGCATAGGCCTTTGCCCATTGGACTACCCTCATTACATTTCTTTCTATTTTACCACAATTCTTAAGTTTAGAATAATTTGGACTTTGTGTGTGTTTATGCAGTCTTTCTGTCATATCTTTCTTTTTATTTTTACATGCATAATTTTTTTTCGTCACATGTTAATGAGAAAATGCCTTTCACGGTGAACTAAAAACCTGCTCAGTCTTATTCTGGCATAGAAACCAACTTGAAAAGCCAAAATCTACAATAAAGACTATTAGCTAAGTAAAAGCATGTCAATCTTTGACACAATTCATTTGTTTAATTAAACATTTGTTAAGGAACAGTAAAAAATATATAGTACAACAATATTTTAGAATCCTTTTAAATATATAGTTTATTATGTAATCAGTACCTAACCCACTTCTCGCTTTCATAACGTAGGAGAAGAAAACCTCCTGGCAATTTTACGACGAAGATGGTGGAAGTATATGATCCTGGGACTCATTGACCTGGAAGCAAATTACCTGGTGGTCAAGGCCTACCAGTATACGACTCTGACCAGTATCCAGGTACTAGTGTTTTTTTTTATCCTTCTCAACCTCCTTAGTTTCCAGATGTAGATTACTTTCAGTTTAGTCACCTGGGAATCTAAATATTCTATAGGTTTTACAACAAGAGGGAAATTGAGTGTATAAAAACTAAAGCTTAAAAAAATAAAAATAAAAAATAAAACTTTATTTCTCTGTCTTATTAATTTTTCTTAATTCAAATATATTTGGATGTCTTTCTACTCTTTGTTCATAATAGACTGTAACTATTGACAATGTAGGAAAATATTTTCTAGCTATGGAAACTATCAACCAATCTTATGTCATCAGTTATTAATAGGTATAAAAACAGAGCTATTTTAAACACAACTTATAATATTTTAGGACATGTTAATGGACTCTGACTAAGTAATCAGGGTGCTTAATAATCTTTTCTTTAAGCTTTCTTTAATGAGGAGATTTTGCAGCCTGAAGGGACAGAATTTTTCCTAAAAGAACAAGATATAAATTCCTAAATAGTGTTATTTATGAAGACATCCACTGTCCTCCCTTCCTCTCTCTCATTTTCTTTTATGCACATGCCTGTACACACACACACAATTACACAAGTTTAAATTTAGGTTTTCACGATTTTCACCAGACGCCATTTACATTCTTCATTACACCATAAATAATAAGCTTGACCATTTTTGTTTCACTCCCATTTCTCCTTTTATGGCAATATTGTGAATTTTATACCCAAAGCTCTGGGATGAAGACAAAATATTATTCATGTATATTATATCTTACTTAGACTTGATACCACAACAACATTCCTGACATTCTAATAATTTGCTAAGAAACAACAATAACAAAAATGAAGAATCAAACAGGCAAACCAATCACCTAAACATAGTTAGGTTATATAGATTGAATTGGGAAGCTGTCTAAGCTGGAATTAGATGGGGCTACAGGCTTCTTATATGCCCAATGAGAGATAGCAAAGATGCTTGTCTATACCCACTGAAGAAAAGTCCAGAGCTCCATTCTGATTGGACCACAATGACAGTACAGGAAGATTGTGAGCTAATTGGCATAAAAATTGAACTCCTCAAAAAAAAATAAATTGGAGTCCTCAACCCAATACAGGATGAAATTTCTGATTGATCTGGACTTAGGTTTTTCAATAGGAGTACTATTAGCATCTGAGGTGAGACAGTTTTTCATGATTTGGGTCCCTTTCCTACTTTATTGGTCATTTAATATTCCTAGCCCTTGTCCACTTAATGCCAACAACATCTTTTTCAGCCTTGTAACAACCAAATGCCCTCTGGCAGGAAGGTCCCATTCTTGCTTGAGGATCACTGGCTCACCAGTCAGCACTCACTCATGGAGTCAGGGTGAGATCAACCCCACTAATCATATATCTGTCACCTGCTGCAGAGAGGAGAGGTGAATGGATACTGGGAAATCTGCTGCAGCACCTCCACACTCAGCTTCACTCTCCCGCACTGCAATGAGCCCCATGACAAAACATATCTCTCTCTTCTGTGCTCCCATGGCACTTTGTTAGCTCTGTCTACACAGTCTGTATTACCTAAGAATGATGTTTGAATATGCCTACCTACTCCACACTACTGTGAGTACTTTCACGCTTGTTCACCTTTGCATCTCTTGTTCCTAGTAGAAAACTTAGCACATGCCAGGTACTCAATAAATGTTTAAAGAAGTTAATGCAATTGCATTGATTTCCACTATTTGGGGGACAGAAATTCCCAGCAGTTCTCTACCTAAATGTAGAGAGGCCTCCAGGATGTCTACACAGATATGGTAGGAGAAGGAAGAGACAAATATTAGCTTTGTGGCAGAACTGAGCCCATTAGCCCGGAGCTAAAAACTATGAATGAGTGTAGGGGAGAGTGAGGAGGAGACTTCCTTCTTTGAAAATACTGTTGTCTTTTGTTTTTAGTTTTTTTTCTTATAAGCATTGACAAGTCACAACCAATTATTGGTTTCTTAAGTTCTATGGAGCTTTTTCCAAAAATTTTTTTTCAATTTTTTCTGAACAGTAGCAATTAATTCTTAAGGCTGGTCCCCTGGTATGACTGGCTCAACCCATGGCATACACCACCATCCTAATCCATCTTGCTACTTCTCTCAAATTAGCTGTTCAATGCCTAATTTAATGTTCCATTTTATGAAAAGGTTTATTTTAATTCTATGGTAAGAAAGGAAAATAATAATTCTACTGAGATACCAGTTGGTCTTCATTGTAATTTACTGAGCAAGAAATAGTGGAAAGTAAAAAAAAAAAAAAAAAAAAACTGATTCTAACATTTCTAGAATTACTTTGCCACCTGCAACAAATAAACCTATTAAATAATAACAATTGGTCAGACAGAAGGCATTTGCTCTGGGAACCATGTATGTGCTGCTGTTTAGTAATTTAATTTTGTTTACTCATTGCAAATCAGTGGAACTAACAAGTTCTCTTTATTTTTATATAAATTCCCTTTATTTCTATAAAAATCAATTCAGCTTCTAATATAGGCTCTGCCATTAGCTTTTATTCATATTAATCAATAAGGAAAATATATTAATTAAGCATCTGAGAAATGAGCTAGTTATTACAAGTGATTTAAAGTGAAATGAATAAGCCTTGCCCTCCAGATACATAGGAATTGATAAAGGGCAAGAAGCAAGGTCTATTGATAGCAACACCAAGTATGGCAAGAAAACAGATGCCTAAGTGCTACAGTTTCCAGAGGCAGAGACAATGTTTATTTCCAAAGGCAAGAAGGTATCCATTCATATGAGTCTATAATATTGGATAAGACATAGAGAGGATAAAATGTGGGGTATAGCTTTGCACATGGAAGGAAGAGCATGACAGAAGCATGGGGGCAGGAAACCCAATGAATGTGACTGGAGAGCAATTATTCTAGTTTGATTCATCCAGTCACTTAAAAAATGATTACTGACTACATCTACATTCAAGACATTGTATTAAGTGGTGAACAAAGTTGCAAGCAGAAATAGATACGATCTATATTTTCATGGAGCTTTCAGTCAAATAATCAAATGAATGGAAGTATAGTTATAATGACAGATAGATGTTCTAAAGAAAAGGAACACAGTTCTGTGAGGTCAGTTCTCAAAACAACTTGACCTCAACTAGGGGGTTGGGTAAGATTTTCTCAAAGAATTGACAGTGGAGCTAAAACCTAAAAAATGAGTGGAAAGAGATTCAAGCAAAGAAGATGAATGTACTTAAGGCCCTGCATGGGAAGGACTATGGCAAGGAGAGGTCATTTGGCTGGGCATAGAGAAAGAAGAGTGGTACAAGATGACCTGGAAAAGGAGTCAGGAACCAGACACTATGAGTCTTAATGGCCAGATCAGAGGTTTGAGTCTTTAGGCTAAGTGCCATGGGAAGCCAAATTTGAGTTTTAAGGAAAACTCGGGCTCTGGCGTAGAGAACAGATTGAAGCAATAGATTCTCTTAAAGCAATAAAGGAAGATGCAGCTGAAAAGTTAAATTGGGGCCATATTGTAGGAGATTTTCAATGTCAGTATGAAGAGTGTGACTTAATTTTATAAGTAAAAGAGACCCATGAAAGTTTGAGGAAAGAAATGTTAAGATGCGACCCAGTAACCCTTTTTCAAAGCACTTCTTCACTAATTGGATAATGTATACATTCCCTACAAGTCACAGACAATTCACAAAGACAATCTTCACTAATTGTTGGACAGCACCAAATACTTGTGTTTCATGATTCTCTTAAAAACAGAGATGTAAAACAAAAAGACAGAAAGAGCCTCTCCTTGCTTTTTCTTCCTGGCCTTTCAGTTCATTCACCAAATATAGGGTTAGAGATCACAAACAACTGATACATGAAACTTGAGAGGAAAAATGTTTTTTTCCTTTCTTTTCTTTTTTTTGGAAATATATATTTTTGAAATGATTATAGACTCACAGAGAATTGCAAAAATATATAGAGTTGTTTGCACCATTTATGCAAATTTCCCCAATGGTGACATTTTATATGACTTTAGTGTAATGCCAAAACCAGGATATTGATGTTATTACAATACTGTTAACTAGACTACAGACCTTTTTCAGTTTTCTACCCCTTTTCCTTCCATCAAGTGTGCATGGTGTGTAGTTCTGTATCATTTGATCTCACGTGTAAATTTGTGTAAACGCTACCACAGTCAGAATACAGAACTGCCCCATTCCCACAGCAGAACTCCCTGTGTTACCTCATTTATTTAGCATAACATCTTTAAGTGCATCCAGGGTGTTGCATATATCAATACTCTATTCCTTTGTATTGCTGTCTAATAGTCCATGGTCTAGAAGTACTGGGGTGTGTTTAACCATCCACCTGTGGAAAGACATTTGGGTCGTTTCCACCTTGGGCTTTTACAAATAAAGGTGTTATGAACATCCATTTGCAAGTTTTTTGTGTTAACATAAGATTTCATTTCTCTGGGATAAATGCTCAAAAGTACAATTGCTGGATCATATGGAAAGTGCCTGCTTGGTTTTACAAACTGGCAAACAGCTTTCCACACAGCTGTACCATTTTACATTCTGAGCAGCAATGAATGAGAGACCCAGTTGTTCCCTAGCCTCACCAGTACTTGGTGTTATTATCTTTTATTTTAGCCATTCCAGAACATACATAGTGATATTTCATTATGGTTTTAATTTGTAGATCCCTAGGGGCTAATAATGTTGAACATATTGGGGGGGGGCTTTTTTTTAACTTTGCCTTTATAGTTGGAAGCTCAAGAAAGTTAACAATGGCAAAAGAGATAACATATTAAGGAAAAAGATGATGGAGGAGAGACATTGAAGAAATCCAACTGTTTATTAGAAAACAAAGAGATTTATAAGGATTTATAAGATTGTATTCTAAAGACACATTTGTGAATTTGTATTTGTTGACTTGTAGGGAATGAATACATTGTGCCTGTGACTTTGAGGTAGATTAGCAATGACATTTGGATAAATTCTAAAAGCTATGCTATTTTTA